TTCTTCTTCTTCTTCTTCTTCTTCTTCTTCTTCTTCTTCTTCTTCTTTTTGGAAGGTGTGTCAATTTCGTGTCTAAAATTGAAGTATTGTGTGAAGTGTCGGGAATAATAAAAAGATCCAGATTCCCATATAAAGAAAATTGGAGCTCTGCCCAGTCCAGAGATATCATCGCATTGCCATCATGCTTCCATGTCATGCTTGGAGTCCCAAAGTGATGGGAGTGGTGAGATGGTCACCATGATGTAAAAAATTATGTTGACACTCTACAAAAAGTGCGGAGAAGAGCAACCAGGATGATTAAGAGACTGGAGGCTAAAACATACAATAAACGGTTGCAGGAACTGGGCCTGGCTAGTCTAGGGAAGAGAAGAGAAGGACCAGGGGAGACAGGATAGCAGTCTTGCAATATCTGAGGGGCTGCCACAGGGTGGAAGGGGTCAAACTATTTCCCAAAGCCCCTGAAGGCCAGACAAGGAATAATGGATGGATGCTGATCAAAGAGAAATTCAACCTAGAAATAAGGAGAAGTTTTCTGACAGTGAAAACAATTAAGCAGTGGAAGAACTTGCCTCCAGAAGTTATGGGTGCCCCATCACTGGAGGTTTTCAAGAGGAGAGTGGACAACCATTTGTCTGAAAGGGTATAGGGCAGGCTTGTCCAACCCGTGGCCCGCGGGCCACATGCGGCCCAGGTCGCCTCGTAATGTGGCCCAGTGCCCACCCCAACCTTCATGCCAGAGCCAGCAAGGAGGAGGAGAGGCAGGCGCGAGGCGGGGCGAGGCGAGCGCCAGGCCAAGCAGCAACAGAAAAGGCGGGCGCCATCAGAGCGCCACCTCCTGCTGTTGCCGCCACCGCCGCCGCTTCTGTCCCCGCTGCCACTTCTGCCCCCCATCGCTGCCGCCGCTTCTGCTAATAAAAACATCTCACTAACTTAATTTCCAAATAAATTTAATATGTTAACTATGTTTTCTATGGTTTTTTTGGATGATCAGGTATCGTTACTGTTATTTTATTTTATGTGTGGCCCAAACCAAATTTTCATCTTCTAATGTGACCCAGGGAAGGTGAAAGGTTGGACACCCCTGGTATAGGGTTTCTTGAGCATTGGGACAGCAGATTTCCTGATCCAGGGGTTTCCTGAGCCGGGAGTGAGACTAGAGGACCTCAAAGGTCCCTTCCCACTTATTCTGCTATTCATAGAATGTATGTGAAGATGCCAATGAAAATATGGAGATTCAATTTCTCTGGGCCAGATTTCCTGTCATCCGTATACCTCACGCTCCATAGAAAACAAGAGCCAAATTTACAAGAGCTTCCTAGAATAGTTTGGTGTTTCGGGCCTCCTGCTCTGGGTTGAATCCCCAGATCAGCTTTTTTCCAACTCTTCAGATTTTTGATCGAAAATGCTTGCTTCTGGGGACAACTGACCATATTTACCTCTTCCCCATCTCCATCTCTTCCCCTCCGTTGTCGGATGTCCAGGTGTTGACCAGCATTTTGAAACACACTGTGGTCCCGTGTACCCAAGAAGACCTGTCCACCGTCCAGGATCGTTGCCGGGATCCAGCTATCTCCGTGAGGAAGTTAGCGCTGCAGTCTGTTACGGAGCTATTACTGGTAAAGTGGTACCTTCTGACCAGAGGTGTAGTATTCAGCGGGTTCCGACCGGTTCTGGAGAACCGGTAGCGGAAATTAAAATAAACCCCATTGGCCAGCCGAGCTTTCTAACCAACCTCTCCTCTTCCTCCTCCTCCTTCTTCCAGTCACAACCAACGAACCTTCTGATGCAGAAGGCCTGGCTTATGGGAGTCATCCCCGTCATTATGGACTGTGAGACCACTGTCCAGGAGAAAGTCCTGGAGTGCGTAGATCACCTCTTGCTGCAGCCGATGAAGCCCTGCCATAAATTCATGCCTCAAGACAAGGATCAAGTGCTGGCCTGGGATCTCCTTAGGTTGCTCACAACAGAGACTCAAGAGCTGAGGTAGGGTTTGTTACATCGGGCTGTCCCGAGGACCCCTCCTCTAATCTTACATGCAATAGACTTGTATACTGTGACACAAGGACAGTTTTTTTTCCCCCTAACGCCATCACTCTGCTAAACAAATAATTCCCTCAACACTGTCCAACTATTTACAAAGTCTGCACTACTATTACTATTAATCTTCCCATCCTTCCTTTCAACCATTTCCTCTCACTTATGACTGTAACTTTGTCACTTGTATCCTTACGATCTATATTGACTGTTTCCTAGTATGGTTTGATTGCGTATTTGTACCCTATGACTATTATTAAGTATTGTACCTTCTGATTCTTGACAAGTGTACCTTTTCTTTTTATGTACCACTGAGAGCATATGCACCAAAGACAAATTCCTTGTGTGTCTAATCACACTTGGCCAATAAAGCATTCATACATTCATTATGTAATATCTCAAAGGTACTATTTTTTTTAAAAAAAATATTTTTATTGATTTTCTATTAAATACATTTCTTGGTGCATAATAAAAATCACGTTGTTAAATAATTTGCTTAACAGTACAAATTTACATTCTTAATCTCCACCCCTTTTTTCCAACTGTTGGTAAAATAAGTTCCACGATTCATAATATTCTACTTCTTTCTGTTTAATTTTCAGTGTCAGTCTATCCATTTCTGCTCCGTCTAGTATCTTCCTGACTATCTCTTCATCTCGCAGTGTGTCTTCATTTTTCCAGTATTGCGCGAATGTAATCCTCGCTCGCCAAGACTGAACCCTCTCCTTCAACCTTAGGCACAATGTCCCAAAAGGTGCTTTTTCAAGAGGCAGCTGGACTTCTTTTGTTTTTTTCTTCTTCTGTGCCTCTTTCCTGAAGTATCTTCCTGCCTAATGACAAAAGCGGAAGCAAAAAACGCTACACCTTGATAAAGAGAGTAGAACGTTTCAGCATCGGAAGCTAAAAGTTGAGAGAGGGAGAAGGCTAAGTCCTCAAGACTGCTATTTGCCTGACCTTAAGTGCAGACCCTTGTTTTTTTTATCAAGTTATTTTGTTGTTAGTTGCGAAGTCGTGTCCGACCCATCGGGATTCCATGGACAACGTTCCTCCAGGCCTTCCTCTCTTCTACCATCTTCTGGAGTCCATTTAAGCTCACGCCGACTGCTTGAGGGACTCCATCCAGCCACCTCCTTCTCTGCTGTCCCCTTCTTCTTCTTCTTTTGCTCTCAATCTTCCCCAGCATCAGACTTTTCTTCTCCAGGGAGTCCTTCTTCCTTCTCATGAGGTGGCCAAAGTCTTGGAGTTTCATCTTCAAGGGTCTGGTCTTCTAAAGAGGAGTCAGGGTGGATCTCCTCTAGGACTGGCCGGTTGGATGGCCTTGCAGTTCAAGGGACTCGCAGGAGTATTATAGAGTATTATAAAATATTATAATATTATAAAATATTATAGAGTATTATAAAATGCAAAGGTAAATAGAAGAGCCGTTAGGTGGGGAGGGGAAAGGGGGAAGAGAAGTGAGGAAAGATAGGGAAAAAGAAGAAGAAACACTGACTATTACTGTAAAATAAGGCATTAACATCAAATCACGGCTTTTTGCTTTTTTGTAATAATACAAACAAGTCATTTCTATAAAGATCCACCAATCTAATCTGTAAAACCCCAAAGTCAGAGTTTCATTCTTTTCCACATGAAGCACAAAGTTCAGAAGTGGTTTCCACGTGGAAGCAAAAATACTTGCGTTCTTTTCTTTAATCAAAGTGGTCAGTTTTGCCACTTCAGCCAACTCCACCAACTTCTGCAACCATTCGTCCATGGTAGGACTCAAAAGTGTCCTTCCATTTTTGCGCAGGTCTCTTTTTTAATCAACAAAGACGGCTGAATGCTAATTAGAAATTTCCCTCCCTCCTTTGCAGAATATCCATCATTACTGTACTCAGCGTGCCTGCAACTCCGAGCATTTTATTCCATGCTCTCTTTTTCCCCCCCTTTCAAATTTTACAGAAAGCAAAATAAAGGGGTGAGGTGCAGCTTCGGGAATGACAGGAACATATGCTGATTAGAAACAGCATCTGTTTATTACTCAACAGCGTGTAACAGTTTCTGAAATAGAACATGTTGTGTTAGGATGGATGATACCATCACAAATCCTAATTTTGGTCCATGGATGAGACACTTGGAATTTTTACATTGCCTGGGAGTTTTAATGAATCATTTCACATTTTTTGTCCTATTTTGAGACAAGTGGAGAAATGTATATGGGAGGAAGACAAGGTTTTTGGCACCAAGGAATATCACTTTTGAAGTTTAAAGGGTCATGGGTAACAAATGAGCAAGATGAAAGAGCTAAATCCAGATATTGCTTAGTCATTAAAAAGGCGTAGAAAACTTCTGATGTGCCAAAATTAAGCTCAGAGCCTCAGGTTTCAAAATCTCCTTTTTTGAATATTTCGGTTAATCTGATACACAGATTGTATAAATGTTGCACATTACTTTGAAGAAAGCTCTGACAATCTGTGTGTATGGAATAGACCCTTCTGTGGTTCTTTGAATGTTGACTCAGAGTGTTTAAAAACAGCTTCTGCCTTTGTTGTAAGTTAAGATAGGCTCCTGTAGTTTGTGAACCTTAAACTTTAGATAGCGTGAATTAGCAATAGCACTTAGGCTTATATATCGCTTTACAGTCCTCTCCTTGTGGGAAAAATTTGTTTGATACTCATTGTTTTTGGTACTCATCACACCTCCCAGAATCAATTGAGTATTGAGGTACCACTGTGTGATGCCCCTGTCGGAGTCTGAATCAGAGGAGGAAGACGAACAGCTGACAGGGAGTGTGAATGTGGCTCCATTGGCCGTGGAGGAAACTGGGAAAGGCAAAGTCCGGCTGGGCAGAGCAGGAGAGAGATAGAACAAGGGAGAGGAAGTTCAGAGGAAGAACCCTCTTCATCCTAGAGCACGCAGGGAGGAATGGAGAAAAGAGCAATGTGGGTTGCATGGCTTACGGGGGAGGAAAGGGCCCCGATTCCCTTCATTAGGCACACCTGAGAAGAGAGTTTAAAAGCGATGCAAGCTGAGTGCTATGTGTGCTGGGAACAAACGTGAATTTATCTTGTGTTGACTTCGGTTATCTGCGTTCCTGGCATTCTCCCAACTAGGTTGAATTACCGCCATTCCTTTTCTTGCCCTGCCGGACTAATTACCTCATCTTACCTTGACTGGACTTCTAGTTACAGATTTTGTTGACAATGCTTTGGACTTGAATCTCTGCAGCCAAAAGCTGTTCCTGGGGGAGTTTTTCTCCAGTCCAGAAGGTAACCAGGACATTGGGGGCAAAGTTGGAGCAAATAAAGGGACTCCTACTTATTATTTGACTGCATTGCCTTTGTGCCACGCCCCTTTGGGTCATCACACGCTGTACTTATTGCTTATAATATGATCAAGGATCTTACCCAATATAGACATTAAGATAACAAGTCTACACTTTCCTATCTTCTCATTTGTTCCTTTTTGAAGATAGCAATAGTACTTAGCTCAAAGTAGCAAAAAAGCACTGATCCACAGCTTCACAGTGCTTACAGCTGTCTGTAAGTGGTTTACAGAGTCAGCATTTTGCCCCACCCACCATCTATCTGTGTCCTCATTTTACTGACCTCAGAAGGATGGAAGGCTGAGTCAACCTTGAACCCATGAGATTCGAACCAAGTTTGAGCTGCAGTACTACATTTTAACCACCGTGCCACCAGAGCTCCCTGTTACGTTAATTATACCCATCCAATTCTTTCTGTTAGGGATTGTACCTGAAGTGTATAATAAAGAGAATGTATATTTAATTATTCATGTACTAACTGCAGCTAGAATTGTATTTGCACAACATTGGAAAGGGGAGGAGATCCCCACAGATGAGGAGGTAGTTAGGAAAATATTAGAATGTGCAGAGATGAATAGATTAACACTAGCAATTAAGTAGAAAGAGCAAAATGAGTAGTATACGATACGGAAAACAGAGAATAAAAAGAAGTTGGAAATGAAGAAGAACAAAGGAGTTGTTCTGACCAAGGCTTCCTGAGACACCAACAAACACACATAAAATCCAAGATCCTTTTTATTTCAGTTTAATGGCTGTGAATTATCGTGATTCACAGCCTTGAATGAGTCTTAAAATAGTCCCAGGGACGTTTGCCAAAGTTCTTCGAGAGACGTTTGATAAGAACGCACCTTTATCTGACTTGAAGTGCTGACAACGACTAAAGCCTCAATTAGTCTTTCCAAAACCAAACAGAGAACAAATTCACCACGGAGCTTTTAGAGTCCAAATCGATCAGAGCGAATGACGTTGCTTCCTGCAAAGATTTTCCTACCTTTGCACTTCCTTTATACCTTATATGAGGGGCAATCACCTCCAAGCCTTACTCCCGAGTCGCCCCTTTTGTCTTAGTTGTTCTTGCCTTCTAGCAGCTCTGTGCATGTGCGCACTGGGAACAGGCTCCCCTTGTTCCTCTGCCTCATTGCTGCCAGATTCAGGAGGCTCCGGAGTCAGCACATAACTCCCAGATGGTCCTGGCCCCATCTCTGTATCAGATGCAGGACCCTTGTCCGAGTCCTCCCCAGATCCCGGACTGGTCCCTGTTCTTCCCCGCTATCAGATTCTCTACAAAACTAACTTGAAAAAAAGGAGAGAGAGAGAAAGGAAGGGTCACCATCTTGACAGCTCCAGTTGAATTTGAGCAGGGGACCATGAAGGATGCCAATTTTTTGTTTTTTTAAAAAAACACGCTACCCAACTTTTGGGGGAGAGGGAGGAAAAGCAAGCAAGTACGAGGACAATGGTTGTGAGATTCGGAGGGCACAGCTATGGTGGAAAACTTTGTCCTCTTCCCAGTCCGGAAGAAACGTGTAGCTGCTTTCCCCTCAAAAGTGGGAGGAAAACAATTATAGATTTTAATGTTTTTTATTTTTTTAAACAAACACAGATAAAACAATACAGAAAAGCATAAAACCATCTTTCAATTACATACAGTGTGTTGACTGGTTACAATTCTTTTGTGCTACATGTCCATAGTCGTCCTTCACAAGTCACATAAATTCTCATATTTTCCATTTTGTGTGTGTGTGTGTGTGTGTGTGTGTGTGTGTGTGTGTTATCATTGTGGTTCTTTCATTTGACAATAACTATTTGTTCCACCACGTCATATAAGATATTCAACATTTTAAACCAATATGTAATGTAAATTCCATTGCCACTTCATCTAATTAAAAATACATTCTTATATCATTTTCTCTTAAATTCTATTATTTTTATATTGTAAAGTTATCTATAAAATATATCGTTTCCACACCTTTTTTTTCTAACCATTGATAAAATAAACCCCATATCTTATAATAGTGTTTTTCCGCAGGCTTCTGACAAACCACAACAGGAGAATAAAAAATAAGATAGAGATATACATAAGATGATAATTTGTTATTATTCCTATGGTGAGAATAATGAGATGTAATGTTAATAAGGTATTATCACCAGAAGACTTGTAACTGTTTAGCTGTTGGATGTATTTTAATCCTAAATTTAGAGAAATAATATCGATGTGAAAGTAAATGTTGTAAATGGTGAAAAATGTGGCACAAAGGCGTTTGGGCCCAGTCAACAAACTGCATGAGGAAAAAAATTCAATCTTTCTATTTTTGAAACTGAAAAATAAAAAACATTTAAAAAAATTATTTCTATCCTACATTAGGGTTTATTAAAAGAAGCTAGTTTCATCTTTTCATGCATCTTAGTTTTAAAAACGTTGCAGTTTCTCTGGACAAACCGAACAACCAGCTAATGGAGTTTGGCTTTCTGGCAACAGTGAAATTCAGTGACTGCGTCCTTATGATTGATTGTTCTCTCTTTCTCTCTCTCTCTCTCTCTCAGCCGCTATTTAAGTAAAGCTTTCCACATTTTGGCTCAGAAGAACAAATTCTCCTCTTCGTTCATTAACGGCATCATCTCTCATACCGAAACTGAGCGTGCGGCAGCGGCTTGGATGTTATTGGCAAAAGTGGCTGGTTCTTCACCCAAGTTGGACTATTCGAAAATCATTGATGCCTGGGACAGCATCAGCAAGTGAGTGAAATGTCGCACCAAAGCTGGAGTTAAATATGACAATCCTCTGATTTTGGCCTAACACAAAGGGCTCCAAACCTAGCGACTGTCAACCCTGAAGCTGACCTGTTCGAGGCCATTTTGAGGCTTCAGTGCTGCCACACTGGAGCTGAGCGGTAGGAAGGAGGAAACAGAGATAGCTGGAGTTTGTAGCCAAAATAAAATACTTTCTCCTGGGAACCAAGGACATTTCCACAGGTGGCCGGAGAGAGGAGGAGTGAAGTTACCAGGCAGCTGGACAGCACCCTGATTGGACCATGTGACTGATTGTTTGGGAAAGGGGGGAAACTTACTTTCAACTAGGTGCAAACCACGGGAATATTCAGAGTCGGTTTTCACCAGCCTGTGCCAATATGATCTATCCAATAGAACTATTCTTTGAACAATCTACCTGCCTTGGAGTTCCGGTTGGTTTGGGCATATTACTTGGAACCCTGACAGCGAGTGTAAGACTTGTGGACTTCAACTCCCAGAAGTCTTAAAGTTGTCAAGTTTGGGGATCCTTGGCCTAGCATAGTGATATACACACCCCCAGTTGGTTTACAGCCCAGGGTCCAATGAACCAAGGCACAACATGTGAATCTAGTTGCTTTCATTCACGGGTGAGAAGTGGGGTCATTCATCGCTTCATTCTTCTCTGTTTTCCAGACAGCCCAAAGCCAATCTGGAGACCATGGTGCACATCCTCAGCGTGATTGGAAGTGTGGCCAGACACCTGCCCAGCGGTACCAAGAGCAGGCTAATGAGTGAGAGCTCCCTGAACAGTCGTTTGGGAGGGTACTTTTCTGGAAGCAACCGTCTGTCTTACGGATTCTTCTTTGTGGTGAGAGGGAAGAACTGTCTATGCCCCTCAACACCCATTTACTCTGGGGGGTTTGGCCTTCTTTTGCAGATGATCTCAAATGTTGGCTGCAGGACTTCCAGTGTCCTTTGGAAGCGATCAGCCCAGCTATCGAAACTCTGCAGAAGCTTAGCCAGGCCGTCACAGACGCCCCAAAGGAGATGCAGGTGAGGCTCGGCGAGTCTTCAAAACCATGGATTTTATGTCCCAAAGGTGCTTTTTCAGGAGGCAACTGGACTTTCTGGTTTTTTTTTTCTTTTGAAGACGTTTCGCTTCTCATCCAAGGTGCTTCTTCAGCTCTGACAAGATAGTGGGAAATGGAAGGATTTATTCTCCTTGCAGACAACTGGTTATATGCATTCTTTTAGAGAGTCATTGAGGCAACCTGGAGATTTAACCAGGGTCACCTGAGTGATGCAAATGGGTGTGGAGCCTTTTGGGAACTGCTGAAAGGACGGTGTTGTAAACTGGAGATAGATGATGTTGTATCCCTTCTGTTGAGAAAGAGCTGTTCAATTTCATCATATATAGCCTCTTTGATAAACCTTCAGGTGGCCTCAACGACCCTCTAAAAGGATGCAAATGACCTGCTGTCCGCAAGGAGTGTAAATCCTTCCGTTCCCCACCATCCAGTCAGAGCTGAAGAAGCTTCTTGGATGAGAAGCAAAACGTCTTCAAAGAAAAACAAAGAAAGTCCAGTTGCCTCTTGAAAAAAAGTATCTTTGGGACAACCAGGACCTGTCCTGGAGGACTGAGAATCTCCCTAGGCAGCTTACCTGTATGCTGTTCAGGTGGAGGTAGATCACACCAGTCTCAGGCTGGATAAACTTGTCATAAGACCCAGCCGTCCTCCTAGCCACAAAGAAGTGGGATCCTGGGGAAGGTTGCTGTGATAACTCGGCAAACATTTACTCAAATTCCACCCATCTCATGTTTGAACAGGAGCTGCTGAACAACCTGTGTGGAGATCTTTTAACGACCTGTGAGCAATATATCTCCAAAATAGTCCTCCAAGAATTTGGCACGGAACAGCTGCAAGAGGATGTCTTGGTAAATAAAACCAGAAGGGTTGTGAGTGGTCAAATTCTGAATATCAAATGTTGAGGCTGGAGGAAGCCTCAATAAAAGATTTGTAAGGACCAGCCTCTCTTCTCCCCCCGCCCCCGCTTCAAAACAAGTATAGACTCTTGAAAACTTTGTATTTCAAAAGGAACCTTTTATTGAAAAGGGTGTGAAAGCAAGTCAGAATTCAAAGCAGGTTCTGAGGTCCCTCAGGGCATACAAGTAGGATAAAGGAGATTAGAGCCCCCTCCCCAACAGTCCGATGTGGATTCCACCAATCCAAAGGGATGAAGATGTTATTATACAGGCATCTCCGAGAAAGCAGGTAAGAAAAGTTGCAATCCACATGGCCCCCTCTCTTCCCCTTGCATTTCCCCCAAGAGGTGAGACTTTTCCGGGCATCTGGGGCGCCAGGCAAAGGTTATAAGTCAGGTAAAAGGTGATGCAAAAGACAAGGCAAGAAATAAGATACCCAGGATACATAGAGAGGAAAAAGAACTAAACGTATCAAATCTGATTAAAGAATGGCAGATACAAGGATCTGGCATTTGTCAAGGCAAACCCTTCTTTCCATCTCACACCTTTTGTGGTGTGGAGACAATAACTTGGTCCTCAACACCAATAAGACCAAGGAGCTTATAGTGGACTATAGAAGGAACAGATCAGACATCCAGCCCTTGCTTATCCATGGAGACCGAGTAGAGCAAGTGGCCAGTTTTAAGTTTCTGGGTGTTTCCCTAAAAGAGGACCTGACCTGGGGGTGCTCACATTGCAGGACTGGTCAAAAGGGCCCAGCAGAGATTATACTACCTGAGGCTTCTCAGGAAACAACAACGAAATGAAAAACTGCTGGTGACCTTCTACCGCTGCACCATATAGAGTATCTTAACTTATTGCACCTCTGTATGGTTTGCCAATTGCACAGGGGCAGATAGGAAAGCACTCCAGAGGGTTAACATCATTGCCCAGAAGATCATGGGTTGCCCTCTCCCCTCTTTGGAAGAGCTTTATAGCTCCTGCTGCCTTAAGAAAGTTCAAAACATTCTCAAAGATCCATCTCATCCTGGGCACCCCCCTTTTTTTTTAACTATTACCATCTGGCAGACGGTACAAAATAATAAAAACAAGGACAAATAGGCTGAAAAACAGCTGCTATCCCAGGGCAGTAGCTCTTTTGAATTCTGCTGTATAGGGCAGTGTTGGTGTGATGTCGGGGGTTTTCAATTCAATGTGTGGAGTGTGAAGGATGTGTGTTTGTGTTTATTTTCATGGTCAGGATGTGCACTGAAGATGCTTGATTTCGTTGTACGAGGTGCAATGACAATAAAGTAAAGTAAATTAGCTAGATTTCCACAGAATAGTATTTTAATACCAATTTAGGATTTCCCTTTCTAGTTTCATGGCTTTGTTTTGTTCGGCAGGTGAGGCACCTCTTCACCTTGGGTGAGATTGCGCAGCTCTGTCCGGCCAAAGTGGACAAGCGCATCTTCTTGCTGACCCAATCCCTCTTGGCTAGTCCTGACAACATGGAACATTGTAAGCTCTTCCTCCTCCTTTGGAGGGACCCCCTGCAGAGGGAACGGCCTCCTACTTGGAAGTCCTTCCTTATTTTGTGTGTGTGTGTGCGTGTGTGTCGTTTTCTAGTGTCCAGCCCTGCGGAGAATGAGGACCTTCCAGCATCCCAACCGTTGTCACAATTCCGAGGGTCCACGATGCCTTCTCCAGTCCGAGCACATGCATTCATTACTCTGGGTAGGACACCTAGGCGCTTTGGGTCGGAGGGGCTGGGAGAGGGGAGAAGGCTCGCCATATGCCCTCCTTTCTTTTTCCCTAACACCCGCGGACACAGCCTGTTTGCCTATCTAAAGCATTTTGTCCTCGGTGGTTCTATTTCATCTAAGTCCATGGTGGAATGAAGATAATAGACAGTAAGACTATTAGTATAAGGTTCTGTGTTTGGTGTCCTTTCCTCTCACCTTCTTCACTCCTCTCCCTTCCTCTCCTCTCCTTCTCCTCTCCCTTCCTCTCCTCTCTTCTCCCTTCCCCTCCTCTCCTCCCCTCTCTCTTCTCTCCCTTCCTCTCCTCTCCTCTCCCTTCCTCTCCTCTCCTTCCCCTCTTCTCCTCTCCTCTCCCTTCTCTCCTCTCCTTTCTCTCCTCTCCTTCTCCTCTTCTCCTCTCCCTCTCTCCTCTCCCTTCTCTCCTCTCCTTTCTCTCCTCTCCCTTCCTCTCCTCTCCTTCCCCTCCTCTTCTTATCCTCTCCCTTCTCTCCTCTCCTCTCCCTTCCTCTTCTCTCCTTCCCCTCTTCTCCTCTCCCTCTCTTCTCTCCCTTCCTCTCCTCTCCTTCCCCTCTTCTCCTCTCCCTCTCTCCTCTCCTTTCCTCTCCCTCTCCTCTCCTTCTCCTCTCCTCTCCTCCTCTCTTTTTCTTCCTTTTCCCTCCTCTCCTCTTCTCTCAAATTTAGTTGAACTAATGATTTCTTATCCCTCCCAAAATACGAAATAATAGCGTCTGGTGAGTTCCTATGCCACCTTAGACATGAAAGCTTGCTAGATGACTTTGGGCCTGAAAGGCAGCTGGGTGACTTGGGCCCAATTACCCGGAGACCCTGAGTTCTTGTCCCGCTTTAGGCGTAAAAGCCAGCTGGGTGACTTGGGGCGAAACACCAAGAGACTGGGAGTTCTAGTTCTGCCGTAGGCATAAGATCTACCTGGGTGATTTGGGGCCAGTCGCGCGCTCTCTCTCTCAGCAGCTCACGTCACACGGTTGTGAGTAAAATAGGAGGAAGAAGGAATACTGGGTCTGTGTGGAATGGATTTAATGATTGCCCGCCTCTATTGCAGGGGGATAAAAGAAAGTGGTCACAAAAGGCCTACAGGTTTTCTCGACAGTAGCAAAGCCTTGCCAAAGGCCGTCCAAGGCAAATATTCCGTGACGTTTCGAAATCCAGTGATACGATGTGGTCAGGAGAAAACTAGCGGCCCCGGAGCTGTAGCCTTAACAATCAAACTGGGACTCTGGTATTCCAGATCTGTCCCAAGATTCTCCTTTTCCGCTTTCCCCGTTTCTGGTTTTTTTTTTTTTGTTTTTTTTTGCTCTCCCTGCCATTTCCAGACCAGAAAGAATCACAGCCTTCTCATTTTGCTGCGTCCCTTTACGGCAGGAAAGCTATGCCTGCAACATGAGGACCTGGCGAAGAAGTGCATCGCGGCCTTGGCTCGCGAACTGGAGGTGTCCAAGGACGTGGCCGTCCGCAACAATGTGGTGATTGTGATGTGCGACCTCTGCGTCCGCTACACCACCATGGTGGACAGGTACATTCCCGACATTGCCGTGTGCCTGAAGGATCCGGAGCCATTCATACGGAAACAGACGCTCATCCTCCTTACGAATCTCTTGCAGGTGAGGGGAAAGCAGAAGGCCGGAATTTAAGCTTCTTCATTGTTTAGACTGGGCGACTCGGAAAACGTAGAACAGAGTGTTGAATTTATATTTACCGACAAAGAAATAAAGGGACACTAATACAGATCTATTTCAAGTTATTTCATTCTCATCAGCTAGCCATATCCTTCTGGGATTCGAACCTACGATACTTGCATATTTGGTAGATGTATTAACCTCTAAGCCACAGGCTCTCCTTGTTTTGCTGGCTACACGTCACAGTGGTGCAGTGGTTAGAGTGCAGGCTATTTCTGCTGGCTGCCGGCTGACTGCAATTTTGCAGTTCAAATCTCACCGGGCTCAAGGTTGACTCAGCCTTCCATCCTTCCAAGGTCGGTAAAATGAGGACCCAGATTGTTGGGGGCAAGAGGCTGACTCTATAAACCACTTAGAGAGGGCTGTAAAAGTATTGTGATGTGGTATATAAGTCTAAATGCCAGTGCTATCTTCCTTCCTTCCTTTCCTTCCTTCCTTCCTTCCTTCCTTCCTTCCTTCCTTCCTTCCTTCCTTCCTTCCT